ACATACATACATACATACATACATACATACATACATACATACATACACACATACATACGTGCATGCATGTATGTATGTATGCATGTATGTATACATACATACAGACATACATACATGCATACATACATGCATACATCCATGCATGCATGCAACAGTTGTATTGGTGTAGCCCTTGGCATTGGAGATCGGTGGTTCAATGTCCGGTCTGGGCACAACTAACAACCTCCCATATTGCCCTCCAGGAGCACGATTGTGGAACTATTTGGTTAATGTTGTGCTTTTATACATATAGACAGAATGAATAACACGATGGGTATAAATATGACCAAAACAAAAAACTTCACTGTCAGGTTGTTGGCCTAGTTGTATTGGTGTAGCCCTTGGCATTGGAGATCGCCAGTTTAATTCCCGGTCTGGGCACAACTAACAACCTCCCATATTGCCCTCCAGGAGCATGATTGTGGAACTCCTTGGTTAATGTTGTGCTTTTATATATATATATATATATAGACAGAATGAATAACACGATGGGTATAAATATGACTAAAACAAATAATTCCTCTGTGAGGTTGTTGGCCAAGTGGTATATGTGTATCCCTTGGCATTGGAGCTCGGTGGTTCAATTCCCGGTCCGGGCACAACTAACAACCTCACACATGGCCTACACTAATACTGAGTGGAACTCCTCAGCTAATGTTGTGCTTTTATACATATAGACAGAATGAATAACACGATGGGTATAAATATGACTAAAAAAATGTTTTCCTTTGAGAGGTTGTTGGCCAAGTGGTATTGGTGTAGCCCTTGGCATTGGAGGTTCAACTCCCGGTCAGAGCACACACAGGTTCAAGTTCTGATCCGGGGCCCATCGGCCGCCACTTCATCGGCCCGTCGGCCTCGGTCGCCCTGTCTTAATCATCGGCCTTGCGTCCTCATATTTTTCGCCGATCGCCTCGCGCAGACCAGGGATTGAACCTGTGGTCTTTAGGTCCCAAGAGCAACGCCAATACCACTTGGCCAGCAACATGACTGAGAAACTTTTTTTTTTAGTTATATTTATAGACATCGTTACATTCAAACTGTGTTTTGTATAAAAACTCACAATTGAAGTTCCATGTCATTCATCCTTTTGGAGGGTCATGTGTGAGGTTGTTAGCTGTGCCCGGACTGGGAATTGAACCATCGATCTCCAATACCAAAGGCAACACCAATACCACTCTGCCAACAACTTCATAGAGGAACGGTTTGTTTTGGTCATATTTATAGACGTTGTGTTATTTATTCAATATATATCATTAAAACCTCACCTTACTCAAGACATCCCACATCAGTTTCGTCCTCTAATCTCGTCCTCAAACGTGTTGGCGGCGGCCGGACCAGGAAGAGAACCGCTGAGCCTTCATTCACAAGGGCAACACCAATACCACTTCACCAACAACTTGATGGAACAACTTGTTTTGGTCATATTTATACAAGTCGAGAGTTGTTTATTTTGTATATAAAAGCTCACATTGAATCAAGAGATTCCACATAAGTTTCTCCAGCTCTGCGACAATTAAGATATTCGCAATTAGTCATACATGAAGATCAGCGGACAAATGGCACTCAGCAAATTAAGGGTCTTCAGTTTGGCAGCTTTGACCTCAGTTTGTGGAATCACATCATTTGTTTTTTAAGGTGAGCAGTTCTGATGATGCGGGCACAGCATCAGACACCAAACTACCTCGGTATACATCACAGGACTGTCTCGGTGTTCTTTCCGAATCAGTTTCCGAATAAGTCCAACACACAGACAGAAGAATCAAATTTTCTCAGACAGAACAACAGATGTTTGGTCTGGACGGCTCAACATGTTGAGAAGTACATGAAGACGTAAATGTTGTGAGTTCAATACCCACAGTCTCACTCATGTGCAAAGGTCAAATTTTGATTTATTTAATGTGCTACGGATTTGGATTTGAAAGGAACCGAGACACCAGCTGGTTCGTATCCAGCACGTAGTCAGAGGCTGGGTCAAAAAAAAAATCCAGTGAAGAGGTTATGTGCACTTTGAATATGTACATTCAGTGCGCATGAAAAGAAGATAGATTCAAAGCAATTTAAATCAAAGTACACTTGCCTCACTGGTTGACAGCGTTCATTCAAACCGCTGCAGCAAAGAGAGACTGACAAACTGGAAGTAGAAGATTCCAATGAGACTTGTTTTCTCTATTTAGAACCAGTTTTTCTGCTTGAAATTAGAGGTGATTGTGCTAGATCAGAGGAATCTGCAGCCAGACAAAAGAAAAGAGTAAAATAGTTTATCATGTCAGTATAGATCAACAGAAGGCACACATACATGATCTGAGGGTAGAATTCACACCAGTGTCAGTATCTCTTACAACCATGTGATCACATAGGAAAATATATCACTAAGGTCAACTCTCAGGAGGACAGCCATCCTTGGAGAGCTGATGCAACACATTAGCAAGCATACACAGCCTTTAGCAAAAATATATCCATATATATATAATTATACACTCTTTCTACACATAGAAGCAAACCAACTATACAAAATGCAGAAAACTATCTTTGTAATATCACTGGTGAAACATTTGGAAGAAAGTCCATGCTTGTTATTGGCATTTGAATATCAATTTTGCAGAATCAAAAAAATAGAAGCAGTACCTTTATCATAAACTGGTATAGGGAAAAAAAACATACAAGTTCATATAATGCCAAAAATATTAGCTTTGGAACAAAGAAAAAAAGTACACAAAAGACATTTCATTACAGATATTTCAGTATTACAAGGTGTGGAAAATACAAGTGTCCCTTTCAAGCAGTTGAAAGTTTGTCCCAAAAACTACTATAAGGAATTAGCAAAGGAGTGTCATGGCTTTGAGATACTTTTTGGTTGCAAAACAGATCCCAGAGTTGACAAATGCGAGGACTACAGCAGTAGCCATGCTACAAATTTACGATGACCAAAATGACCAATGTGACTGTCAAAAGAAAGCTGTGATTTCAGAGAAGTCAAAACACTTTGAAGAGAAAGAAGGCATTTTTGAAGGATTATTACCATTACACACATATGTATACATATGCGATTTATCATGCTATACTTTGATTTGAAGTTTGTTGCGTTACATTTGTTTTACAACAAGCAGAGCTTTTTGAGAAAAATGTGGGAATTTTCACAAGAAATCAAGAATCTTTTGTGTCTTCCCAAAACTGAATACAGCTAACAGCCCTGACCCTTAAATGCCATTCCGATCGATTCACTGGAATCATTGGAATACTTTTTCCGCAAAGTGCTTGAACTTTTTGCCTTGAAACCTCTTTGTTTAAAATCCATTAATGCATCATCACACATTATTTCTGATGAGAACAACATAAGGTTTGGACAGAAGAAAACCATTTTAATGGAGTTTAACAGTCTCGAATTGTAGTTTTACAGAAAAAAGTAATAATTCTTGGCAAAAGAGACCTTTTTTTGTGACTGATGTACACATATCTTAAGCCCTGCGTTTAGAATTCTGCCTTTTTATATATATATATATATATATATATATATATATATATGTGTGTGTGTTAAAAAGAATCCCATATTTCTTGTGCTGCCAGGCTGTAAGCTCTAATATGGATAGCTGTCAGGAAAAGCCAGTCCCTGGATGCATTGCTCAGCTCCTTCAACCAGGTAAGGCCCCTCCTCCTCATAGCTGGCCAGTGGGAGGCCGTCGTCCTCGCTCGGGGGCAGAATGGTGTCCATGTCAGCCTTCAGATTGGGCCGCTGGTTTTCTGGGAACGCCATGGAGAAGAGTGCATCGGGGTTGCACACAAACTTGTAGACATACCTTTCCCCGGCCACCTGCAGGACACAGCACAAGAGCTGTCACATCCACCATTCACGTGTCCTTTAAACCGCTTACCACCACATTTTGATGACATCCTTTTAAATGGAGTTCTGATAACACCACACTTAATATAAATTAGAAGGAAACACTTTTTTTGCCCACTGGAAAACCCAGATATAATGAACTCTTTTCAAAGATAAGAGAGAAATGCACCAACACTTCACAGAGAAGAGTCAAATCCATTCATGGATGGTAAGGATAGAAGTTGATGACTCGCCTTTACCTTCTGCATGATGCCCTTTTCGTAGTAGTAGCGCAGCGAGCGGCTCAGCTTGTCGTAGTTCATAGCCGGTCGATTCTTTTGGATTCCCCACAGCCGAGCCACCTGAACCCCACACACAGGGACATATCTCCATGAAACGTCTCCTCTCAGCACATCGCTGAATACTTTTACCCCGACGTCAATAAAAAGAAGCCTCGTCCCACCTCCTCTGGATCGATCAGCTTAAACTCCATGTTGCGTCCCGTCCACACGATCAGGTGTCTGTTGGCCGGGTTGTCCAGCAGTGTGAGCAGGAACTGCCAGAGCTGCAGGGAGCCCCGGCGCTGGTACGGCAAACCCTCCTGCTTCACCTTGCCTGGAGCCAGATAAGAAAGCTCAGCAGTCAGTAAAGCTGTCAGGGCAGTTTTGGGTGAGTGGGCAGCGGCCGGACTCAGCTTCTCACCTTCCATTCTTTCTGGCACAACACAAGTGTCATCAAAGTACAAGAGAGGCTCTCTTTCCACACCAAATCCTGACGGATAAAATGTGCCAAATATGAGTTTCGCTGGCTTTAACAAGAGCAACAATGTATCTAAAGATCATACAGTTTAACGTACCGTGACTGTTTTTCTGGAACAGAACTGGAGACTTCCCAAAAGACGATGACTGGCAATTTTGAGCCTCTGGAAGACGCAATTAAAGAGACCAAAGTCAAGCCGCATTCAGAGTCTTTTTTAGAAGTATTTTAGAAGATGTGTCGAGAAATGCCAGGTTAATGACAAACTAACACTCTCACCTGGGTCAAAGCCAAAGTCTCTTGGCTCCTGTTTGATGGTGACATGGTTGAAGGTGTTCTGAGGTTGGACCAGGCCTTGGCCAGCAGGGCCCAGATCTGGGTATCGTGGGTCCACCAGCTCCTGTTTGAAGGCCCGAGGGGCGTGGGGAACGAGGGGCTCGGACAGGTGGCGCTGGTACAGCGGCCGGCCATCGCAGGTGGAGTGGTGGTACGGCGTGGTTTGGGCTTTCTCTGGGGGCAAGAAAGGCAAGCAGGGATCCGACAGCTGCCGCTGGAACCTGACGTTTGGGGCGAAAGAGGAAGCGGTTTGAGCGGTTTTCCTTGAGACTCTGATATGAAAAGGTATCCGAGATAAACCAGAACTCACCTTTGTTCTGTGTTGAAAGATGCCCCCGAGCAGCTGAGGGGGGGGCGCGGCAGGGCAAACTGCCGGCTCTGGTGGGCCAGTGGGAGGCTGTGGTGGTGGGCGGGGCTGGGGGCCGGAGCCCGGGCCGGGGAGCAGTGATTGGTCAGCTGTGGGGGAGACGGCTGCAGCTGTCTCTGTAAAGGTGGAGGCCCGGCGGGGGGGATGGAGCCGCACTGCATTGTGGGTGTGGCGGCTGGAGGGGGACCTGGTTTGTTGTCGCAGGCACTGAGGGGACAAGGTGACAGGCAGTGGTGAGGCAGGCCTCAGGGGGGGGGGGGGGGTGGTCTGAGCGCGCCGCTGGTACCTGTAGCTGTAAAGGCACATGTCCGCCTGGGGGGTCCTGCAGGGAGACAGCTCTGTGGACGGGCGGGGCTCTCGCTTCACTTTGCTGACAGGCGGTCCCGGAAACATCGCTGCAAAACACAAAAATTCCATCAATCACCTCGAGGCCTCAAAGGAATCTCCGCTAACCCTTCTCCTCCGACCTTCCGTCCAAATGTGAAAGAAGCTAAACGCCCATTCACTCTCATCCTTTTGATCCGCTTCTTGTCGGTTTACAAGCAGCTAGACGTATGTTCATAAAGGGATACGTTTAAAGGAGCTGATTAAAGACAGAAATCCCAGCATCTGGGCCTTTCCTGGAATCTGCTGCAGCGATGACAGCAGGGGGCAGGCGTGCCGTCAGAACCTGGAGCAGCTGTCATCAACAGCAATAATCCAGCGGGTACGTGTGGCTGGGCAGCACTAACTGGAACATTTTAATTCAGAGCTTATCTGTGACCGCTTCATAAAACATCACTGGCTTGCTCGTGCAGGGTATATTATAACTTCCATTTCCTGTCCACGTGACTACTATCATGTCTTTGGAAATGTTCCAAAACATTCAGGGTCATATAGTGAAATATCAGGAGCAGCCTGAATGGCACACAGCTCCATTCACACGGGTCCCTGGGTTCCTGCGCAGGCCTCAGCAGGCACAGATCAGAGGACACAGGACCTCTGGTTGTTTTGTGCCGTTAAGAGGTAGATATGTTGGCTAGCTTTGTAGTTTAAGTTAGCCGGTTGGTTATTTTGTGTCTGATTTATCACTAATTTTCAGATCCCTGTGATGGACCGGCGACCTGCCTGGGGGGCACCTCGCCTCGCGCCCAATGACAAGCGGATCATGTTCCCATGCTTAAAATCCCTGTCTCATTTAGCCCGCGTCTTAGTCGGTTTGCATCACATTTTGGTGGCTCTGCATCTCCCTTGCCATCAATAGAAGATTTCTTTTCTTCTTGCATGACTCTGCACTGTCTATAAAAAGAAAAGATGAAGCCGTTACTCACAGTTATTGGACTGAAAATCTGGGACAAACTGCTCGTCATCAGGAACATGAGCTGTAGGAGGACAGATGGCACCATGTTACCACTTAAAATATTCAGCCTAAAATATCAAACCTAAGTGTGAAATATACTGCTTCATGATGAAATAAGCCAGTCTCACCTTCTGCAATCCATATTTCTTGGAGCTGGCTCAGATCTTGAAAAAGCTCTGCAAAAAAAAAAAAAAAAAAAAAAAAAAGAGATGAAAAGTTGTGATCACATATGACACCACTGTTTAAATCCTTTGAGTCAATCTATCAATCAGCATCACAGACAAGCCGAGACATTTGAACTCTGACTTTATCTACCTTCTGTGTCCTGAGCCAGCTCTGTGTCCAGGAACTTCCTCCGTCTGTCACTGAGGCATCTCTCCACCTCCTCTGGGTGACCCTTCTGCGGTGACAGGTGAGAGGGCGCCTCAGCACATCATCAATCATTTCCTAATCATTTACCGGCCTCAGCCATGAGCTCCTTCATTATATTTGTCAGGGGTTCAACTCACCCTCTCAGGTACAACAAACGGGACCTGCTGGTCGTAAAAGCCATCCATGTTGCAGCTCTCTTTGCCCTGAACAAACAACACAGAAACACTCAGAAAAAAAGGATTTCAAAGAGGAAAGCATAGCCCCAAAGCCTTTGCTGTGCATCTTCCACAAAGGAAACATCGTTTTAACCGGACATGTGTTTTTCTACCCTCAGTGCGCCTGACAAGTGGCTTTATGGCCGCTCTCACCGTCTGTTGACAGTCAGGAGCGTTGTGCCACCTGCAGTAAGTGACGTAAATTATGAGGGTCGGGAGGGATGGCTGTGTAGAAACGTCTGAGAGGGTGATAAGCAGAGAGCAATAAAGTGTGATGTCTTTAGCTTCGCTGCACACTGTTGGCCTCAATCAGTCTCCATGTGCACACTCCTGCTCCCTGTTGTTCAGAGCTGGTTCACAAGACTGTGAAACTACTTTTAAAAAAAAACAAAAAAACAACTTCCAATAGTTGAAACATTTTATCAGCTATTTTGAAATGTATTGTGATCTGATCAAAAGTGCTTTTCAAAAAGTTTTCTTTTTTATTTAAACTAGGTAAGCCTATCATTTCAGCTTTGTAAAGGGATAGTTGAACAGTTTGTCCTCCATCATGGTCAAACAGCTCTGGTCTGAAGAACGAAGGTGACCGACAAAGAAAACTCCTATTATTGCCTCACTGACTGTCTGGACACCGTTGACGTCGATTAGCTCTACATTACGTGTTTAAACGGTTTAAACAGAAGCCGAACACTAAATTAAGACACTTCTAAAGGGAGTTTGGCGCAGCGTAGGGAAAAAAGGCTTCATGGGACCTCCTTGTTTTTGTGAATGAAGTGAAACTTGATCCTCGCAGCAGGAGGAGGAGGGGTGGTGAGGGAGGGAGGGAGGCAGGGGGGAGGCAGGGAGGGGGTGGTGGGGGGTGCAGCCGCTCACCATTGAGAATTTTGCCACAGAGAAAGATTCCCAACGCTAAGAGGCTGTAAAAGCCGCCGCCGCGGAGGGACGGCGGCCCCGCGGCTGACAGCTGCGGCAAATGGACGCAGCGTCGCCTTTGATACGCAGAAAATGGCGTTCGCCTCCAAACCCATATCTGCTCCCCTCGCAGCCAGCAAAAAAAAAAGAGAAGAAAAAAACCCAGCGACGCTGCATGTCTATGTTCTGTTTAAAAAAAAAAGTGCCCCACCAGATACAAGTGTAAAAGAACGCATTATTCGTGAGGAATTACCTGGTTTGTGGAGTTTCCTGGCGGTTTGGTTTAAACGAGTCGACGCGGATTTGCTCCCCTACATCCCCTGTAGCTCCTCGAATAAACACTCGGCTGTGGATTTTTCTCAATGAAGAGCTCTCCGACAGCGAGCCCGACACCAAGCGGAGGACTGGACTCCTGTTGGTCAACAGAGAAAGTCACTCAAAAAAGTGGCCAATCATATTCGACACAGCTCTGACGTCCGTCCCCAGTGTTTTTTATGAATGGTTGGGTTACATTCATGGAGCGGAGCTGTCTTAAAGGGCCAGAGCCAACCCACCAGAATATAAAACATTACAGAGGCCATCACTGCTCTCCTCGTCACAATACTTCCTGTTGACTTAATGTCTGGTCTGACGTTTTTTATGCTGCTTATTGTACACTAGCTCAGCATGTGCTTTGGGAAAAGGTGTGGTTCAAACGTGCACAGTCTGGCGTGAATGATTGATAGAAATATGGAAACTCAAAATGCGTTCAATTATCATTACCATCAAATTATTGAATAGCATTTAGCATTAAAAATAATTTTCCACACAATGGTCAGATGTTTATAGTTTTGTATCAAGAATGACCACAACAATGAAATGTTATTTAACTCTGGAGTTAACTGGCAACAGGTTCTCTGAAATACAGCATTCTTTAACACTGTGACTGTATTTTAGAAAACCTTTTGGGGGTTCTGCAATAAAGATCATGAATGGTTGCAATTCTTAGACGCTTTTTAGATTAATCCAACATCACACACCACTGTTCATGTCATGCAGAACATTTTCTTCCCTCTAATTCCTCTTTGATCTCTTTTAGCTTCATTACCAGCAGCTGCAGAGCAATCGCCAAGTGCTCCACGTGATTATTCGATAAATCTCATTCAGCACCTCCTCCATGACTGACGGCCAGCACAATGGACGGCATACAAACACTGCAGTTATCAAGAATTTAATCCAAATATGCCCATTAGAAGATTAAAAAAAGTCAGCAGCAGCTTGAATACAGTAGAATTCAATGTTCCTTTCTGACTAATGTAATGTCAGGGCCTCATTATTCATGAGGTCATTAAGAATTGTAATTGTCAATCCTTCTATTATTTTATTCTGCAAATAACTGAGAAGTCACCTCTAAAAACAAACATATTATAGCTAAACTCTCAAAAGAAGAAGTCAGAAAGGGAACATACAATCTTTTTACAAGCTGAGATTTTTCCTTAGCACAAACACACATGAAAGCAAGATTACTGCACAGTTTTGCAGCAGCAGGTCTTTTGCATTAACAAAGAATTTGGGAGAAAACCAACTATTTCTCCCAAATCTGTGTAATGGAAGTTGGAGTTGACGTTGGCAGAAGAATTCTGGTTTTAAAAAAAAACTTTAAAGTGTAATCCTGAACCTATGACTTCACATGGGGTGACCTGTCCAGGTGGACTTTTCCAAGCAGAGGTGCACTGATTGGTTGTGTTCTCCCCAGAAAGTGCTCAGTCAGCGTCGGGAGATGCCAGAACGGATCTGTGCCTGATAAAAGTTCCAGTTCAGACACGAGCTGAGCTCAGCAGCTCAGTTACTCATTTGCAACATCTCCTGTTTACAAGGACTGCACACATCTTAGTCTGTGTACAATACCACAAATACTGATTCTTTCCCTTCCGTTTTGGCAGATAAACAGGCATGATATAAAAGAGCGTATCCTGCAACAGGAAATTACACTGCTGCCTTATCACATGTGTCTGTGAATTGTGTTGAAAGTTGAAGTTTTGCTCTTTATCATGGTCTGATAACTCTTCTACTGTACCTTTTTTTTCTTAGGTTAAAAGAAAATGGAAAATAAACTTGAAATGTTAATGTCATTAAGATTTTTCCTTCACACATTGTTAATTTATTATAATGGAGTTTACAAAACCTGCACTTGCTCTATAATACTGAAAAATAAACAATTGTTGTGCCTACAGTACCTCTGCACAAGAGATAAACTTATTTGGGGGATTATCTGTGGTAACAACTATTTGTGGGAAAAAGTGTTGTTGGCTACTAAATGTGAAGTCAGTATACCGACATTTGTGAGGGAGCTTTTCCATGCATTCCACTGACCATTAAATCTCTGGACGTTTCTGGATTTGTTCTCAACTTTTCATTGAGTCATAATGTGCATTTTGTAGATAAACATGAAACTTCAGTTTCCCTTTGACATGCAATGCAATCCCCAGACCACTGGAGGGCCCCCACACTTACACTTTTATCTTCCTTGAAGGGCATTCCCTGAGAAAAAAAACTAATGCTTTTCTTTCTTCCACACTCAATGACTCTGTGACACAAACACAAAAAAATGTCTTAATGCCATCACTTATCTGGATTGGTTTGTCTGACAGGCTCCGCTCTCCAAAATGACACTTGTACTGTTTTTACTGTTTGTTTGTTTTCTAAAGATAGATATCCCAACGCTGGAAAGATATGTTCCTGTCAGTCCTGGGAGAGTTGATGACTGAGAGACAACAGGTGTGTGGTTTAACTGGAACAGGTGTGGATGAAACCAAGAAGCAAAGAAGGGAAGACTGAGGACATCTAGTGGAAATTAAAAGAACAACAACAAAGACTGAACAAAGGACACTGAACAATGAAACTGGCTCTGTCACAAACAAAGAAACCAAAAGAAAGAATCCAACACACAAAAACCTCATCAGTTAAATCAGCTATAAAAGCAATGGGGCAAACTATGAGGATAAATAATGTTTTTCAAAGATGACTATTAGTTTACTTTTAAGCTAATTCCACTGACAATAAAAAAGTTCTACCCTGTATTACAGTATTTACATGATTTCTGATTTGTGTTAAAGTAGGAGGTTCCATCGGTTTCCTGCACTGTCAGAGGTCTGCAGCCCCTTTTCAGGACTTTTACTTGGTGAGCAAAAGTATGAAAAAGGCAAGCAAGAGTCCTGCTGTTGGATGATAACACAACCCGGCTTGTCCACAGCCAGCAGGCGTAGGTTGCTGGTGCACGGCTGCAGCATACCACTGTATTTTTCCACCGTCTCTGGCACGGGCTGGCACTCACAACAATAGCTGCTGGCATTCCATGGGTCCTTGTTGGTGAATACCCCTGAATCATCAGAGGTCTTTTTGTTCCGGGCTTTACCATGAGCTGTCAGATGAAAGAATCAAACAGCCAAACCAAAAACCAGCATAAGAAAACACAGGGACACGGGCACACATTTCTTCCTTGGGAAAATAAATCATGGCTGACCTTGTACAAACAGCACACTTGATCCTTTTTCTTTTTGATGAATGATGCACTCAGACGAAAAAGAGACGCTTTCAGCTGCGGGTTGCATACACTCCAAGGTTTATTTGTGTTTATTTACGGTTGACAGGGAAAAAGGGAATTGCAGAAAAAAATAGAGTTATGTCATTGAAGGAGTCATTTTGGTTGCAGTTAAAAGTCGGCAACACGACGAATGGAGCCCACAGATGGGTGGAGAGCCCCCCACTCAGAGTGCCGTCTGTATTCACCTTTTTCCAGCAGGTACTGGCGCCCCCTGTAGTTTGGATTCTCATAAAAGACCCACACGCCATCATGGACGTGAGCTGAGTGCACGTCCCGATAACGCCAGCGGTCCTGCAGGTTGGGCTGGTCTTCACTTAACTCGATCATCTGGCCACTGAAGTCTGGACGCTCATAGATGCGGATCCTGAACCTGCTGGATGGCTGGCATGTTGAGAGATGAAGAAATCTTTTAATCAGGGAGCTCAGGAGGTCCAGATTGTGTTCCTGTCATTGTTTTCACCACCTGTCTGATCTAAGACAATAATCTCCTCAACAAAGCATCATAATTAGCTAAGCGAAGCAATAAATTATCCTAAAGAAACGCAGTGAGTTGGAGTTTTAAGACTGGAATGAAAGTAACTGCAAAGCTTCTTCAAAGAGTCATTTGTGAGATGATCTTCACATTGCAGACGAAAAAAGTCACACGACAGTTTGATTCCTGTCTTTCTGGGGCTTTCCTTTCCAAAACTTACATTATTGATGAGGCGACAAGAGCGGATGGTGTCATTGAAGCCGTTCCAGCTCTGGAAGGTGGGGTACTCCCCTCTCACCAGGACGTACTGGTAGCCCATGTATTGGGGTCCTTCATAGATCACCCAGGTCCCACCGTCCACACGGATGGAGTTGCAGCGGCTGAAGTGCGAGTTGAGCTCTGGACAGTCACTGCTGCATTCATAGTGACGACCCTGAAAGTTCTTGTCCTCAAAAAAGAAGATCTGCAAAAAAGAATCTTTATTTCAACATGTGAGCAGTAAAGCCAAAAATGAAATGCCTCTTTAATTAATATAAACACGTAACAACGGGTAATTCCCTGTTCTCTGTGCTGTTGATACCTTTTATTTAATAAACCAATTTAATCCATCGGTACTTGGATTTTTGGACCAATCAGGGATGAGAGGAGTTTCTGCCGTTAGGTATTCACCTCTCAACAGTTTTGTGACACTAAAGCAAAGCTAAAATAGTTTTTAAAAAATTCACATCAGGACAAAACACGGTACAGTCAAAGGTCAAAGGTTGCATGTCACATTTCTTTTCCCCTCTGTCGCATCCAAGTGGCTAAAAACAAAACTGCACAGCCAATAGATTATTTCCTGGGTTTTAAAATGGAAAAAAAAAAAATCATGTTGGAGTTGGATTAAGCCCAGATGCATTTGGATGTAACAAAGTAAAAGTCCAAGACACATGCTGAAATCCTAAGCTTTTTTATTTGCTATTTGTAAATAAAAAAAAAAGTTCAAGAAATGTTCTGTGGGTAGAGATAATGAGTCAGAATAGATTTGTTTGCTATAACAGAGTGAAGGCTTTCCTTCATCCCAGGTCTTTTGTTTCCACATTAACATCTGATCTGAGAACTAAAATCACATTTTGTCAAATTGCCTTAGTTTTTTCCAGACAGGCAATGACTTTAAATTTACACCCAAAAAATTCGCAGAAAAAATTTGGGCAGAGAGAACTAGGATCAACATTTGAAAAAATGTATTTTATGGATATTTACCAAGAAATAGCCCCTTACACACGGTACTCACCTTCCCTGTTTGTTCCATAGCTGGCTCGTCCTCTTCCTCTGCCAATCAAATCAAAGCTCTCCCATTCACACTGCATCACTGATGGTCCACTTTTATATAAAGGCTGATGAAATGCATCACCAGCACAATTATTGTAATTCAAATGAGCTCTCCATCAACACGTAAGCTGCCGAAGTTGTTTCAGCATGTTGGTGGAGAGATTTGGACCAAATGTTACTTAAAATGCAGAAAGAGAAGTTTAAAAAAAATCTATGACTATATTCAAACTTGAGTTAAATTGGAAGATGAAAACTTTCTTTGCACACTTTTGAATGGGATTTTGGACATTTTCCTCCAAATGAATCCGAGCGACAGTGAAGAGAAACAAGGCTCTCTGATTTTGTGTGATGGATTTATTTTGAAAGATTTTTCTGAGCACACTGTATCTTCAGTTTTACATGATAGTCCTAATGGTTCTCAACACGATGGATGGATCCAACACTTGGCTGCATGCCCCCCCACTCCGGGTAGCGCTTGTACTCGCCCTTCTCCAGCAGGTACTGGCGCCCTCTGTAGTTGGGCTGTTCGTAGAAGATCCAGGCGCCTTCGAAGATTTTGCAGGAGTGGATGTCACGGCTCTGCCAGAGCTCGTGGAGGGTTGGCATGTTGTGGGCCAGCTCCTTTGAATCCCCCTCAAAATTGGGCTTCTCCCACACCTTCATCCTCCACGAATTCCCCACCTGACAGGAAGACAGGACATATCGTGTACGAGGGTAAAAGTGGTGGCACTGTTTGCACTGTATGAAAATTTAACAGCTAAAAAGGAAAACCGGAAACAGACGTAGATCCAAACCAACTCTGGAAGAAGCTCGTACACTTTAGTGTCAACACATCTGAGATGTCTGGTCCCTGTTCAGCACAGCGGATTGGCCAGAGGCTGGTAGCTTTTAACTTACATGCCTAATAATGCGACAGGACCTGATGGAGTCGTTTATGCCCAGCCAGCTCTCGCAGTCCGGATACTGTCCGGGGCTGAGCACATATTGGTGCCCAATGTAGTTTGGCCTCTCGTACACTACCCAGAATCCTCCCTCCACCTTGATGGAGTTGCAGTGGCTGACGTGCGTGTGCAGGTCACTGGAGTCATTGCTGGACTCATGGGAACGACCCTGGAAGTTTCTGTCCTCATAGAAGATGATCTGGAATCAGAAATGTTTGGTCAAATTAGGTTTAAAGTAGATATCATATATATGACAGTGAGTAAGGGTTTAATCAAACAAAGAAACCTTCTCCATGGTCGTTATCAACAGGCTTGGTGAGTCAAATAAAAGATTAAAGCAACCTCCTCCAATTTTCTCTTTATACAGGACTAGAACAATAAAACTAAGCACATGGTTCCTCTGGTATGAACTGCAGGCTTTAATCAGTGATTCAAATATGTATCCAGACTGATCACATTGTTCTGAGGCAGTGACTCCTGGTCCCCTTGACAATGCAAATGCAAAGCGCCCAAAAGCCTCTGGATGCAGCAGCCAGCGCTGACAAAAACCAGGCTACTGTAGGACATTTGGGCTGGAGCTGAGTCAGTGACAGAGCAGGAAAATCGGAAGGCACCAGAGATTCTACAGATGATGTCCACAAAACCTGAAAATAATCCACACTCTGGTTCCATGAAATAAGGCTCTTTTGGATGCGGGAATGATCATTTCAATGGTCATTTACTGCCACAGATTTTGCTCTCTATGAAAAGAAAAGATATATATAAATACAATCATTACAAAAGGATCCTCTTTCAGTAGCCTGACAGTTTTAGAAAGTTCTCTGATGTCGAGGCAAAAATGTTCCTGTGCACTACACTCTCCAGTTGGTTTACGTGTCTCAGAGGTCTCAGTGCACAACCGGACTCTGATTTGTGCCCCTTTCTGTGGGGCTGCAGTTGGCTTTTTCCTTTCCACATAAATCTAGCTCTTAATCAAAGTGTGAGGCCTGAGCTTTCATTGCTAGAGTTGAAAAAATCATCAAATCTTTAAATGTACAAACTCTCCATGGGAGGTATTTGACATCAGCTAATGTTGAGGGTAAATCTTAGTTTGGTGCGTAAATGAGACAGCCCCCGCTGTGTAGAAATGCTGTGCAGGGGGTCATGACAAAGGGTCGGGCTATGTTGTGAGTTGGGACTGAAACACAGGTTGGTTACAGGTCATTCAGGATCTACAGAAAAACTATCTGATCCGACCTGACGGACTGTTGAACTTTTAACAATAAATATAAAACATTTCATGAATTCATTTTCAGAATACTGGTGTGTTTTTCCTACCTGGAAAAGCCATTCAGACCCACCACCAGCAGGCTGGGTCCCTTTGCAGTTTGCATGTTGCACTGCTGTGTTTCTACAGTAGCCCTGAAGGGACACACTGAGAGGATGTGTTCAGTGTTTCTTTTCTTTTCCTTCCCACTCAGCTAGGTTTCATAGAATTGTATCCTTTCTGTTTAGGATGGGCAGAGAGAAAAGTAGGCTACAAACATATATAATTGAAGTTGAAGTGACTTTATTCAATTTGTTTACATAATTGATTCCTTTAAGGTTTATCATTTAACTCTTTCAATTATTATCAGATATATTAACCAATTGCAATTAAACTGGGGAATAGCATATTATATTAAGATTAAATGACACCAAACACTCATGTTTGAAGTTCATGATTGGTTATCGATCTTTTGCTCAGGTTGTGCCCTGCTATTAATCATTTTCTTTATTAATTGAACTGAACATTAACAATTGTGCTTTCACGTCCCACACCCAATTTTATTATCAAGCACTAAACTGCAAACTGCACAGATGTGCCACCAGACACATCCAAAAACTGAAGGACAGAGGGCAATTGTTTGCTTCTTATTTATTGAACGCAAGAGCTCACACCAAGACAAGATCACATCCTTTTAAGGGTTAAAACTCAGTGATCCTGCGGAAGGAGCCGACCCCAGGTGAGGACGCGCCCCAGTCGTTGTGCTGGCGGTATTCCCCCCGCTCCAGGAGGTACTGGTGCCCCCTGTAGCTGGGGAGGTCGTAGAACACCCAGGCGCCGTCGGTCACGGCGCAGGAGTAGACCTCCCGCAGCTTGTGGGCGTCGTACACTGAGGGGCAGTCGTCAGAACAGTCCACCATCTGCCCCCCAAAGTCTGGCCGCTCATACAGCCTCAGCTTCCACGCAGTACCGTAGACCTGCAATAAAAGACGACAAACAAAACAAGTTTCTAAGAGCTTCCCTTTGAGCATTTCCGAATAACTTTGCTCTATAACAAAGCTCATCAAACCGTGATTTGTTCCTGACACGTTCTGCTTTTCAAATGTGTGCTGTGCAGAACCAAATAACTCTGTGCTTTTCTAAAAACCAAATCCATGAGCAGAAACATCTGAATCTTTTCCTGATGGCGCTCTTACATTCTTCACGGCGCGGCAGGACTTGACGCTGTCGCTGAAGGCCATCCACTGCTGGTTGTCGGCGTACTCCCCGGGGCTGAGGACGTACTGGAAGCCCTTGTAGTTGGGCCTCTCGTAGACCACCCAGGCTCCACTCTCCACCCGGATGGAGTTGCAGCGGCTGAAGTAGGTGTGCAGGTCGGCACAGTCGCTGCTGCAGTTGTAGCAGCGGCCCTGGAATTTCTTCTCCTCGTAAAAAGTGATCTGTTGGAAAAAAGTGTCATTTAAAAAAGCATGAAAGCTGAAATGGTCTCTGAAAAGTGGCTGAAGGCTTTCTCTCACCTTCCCCATGCTGGATGCTGTGTAGACCTCATTCTTTGCTGCAGCCCCATCAAAGTATTTATCGATAAACAAAATGTGCAGAGCGCGGCAAGTCTTTGATACCCAAATGAGGCAGATTTACATATCAGCAAAATGGTGCTGGAGCTGTTTGATTTGCCTTTGTTCCAGCCTGATGATGACTCGGTATCAAACACATGCTGGAACAGTGAAGGCAGCGCTCCACTGTCAGCTGCAGGGATTTGACTGAATAACATTAAGTGTATCATTGTTATCTACATGCAGTCTGAACGTGTTTCCACATTCATTTTCCTGGCACTTTTTTCTGCTTAGGACAGATACAATCCACTGATACAGAGGGACTTTATTATAGAAATTATCCGTCGTCAAGCATGTCATTCATTCATTTGTGAATGCCTACATGTAATGGATAAAGAAAACAAACTGATATTTGGGACATTTGTGTAAGTTTTTCTGATTTAATGAATCAGACTATATGTCAAACAAAAATATATCAGAAAGTTTAAACCCCATATTAGTTTTAGTAAATGACAGCATAGTGTGTTGAAGCCCAGCAGGTAATGTTGTGTTGCTTTTTTTTCTTTTTCTATTAGCTCTATTTTTGCTTTTGGTGTTGACTTGGGGTTACAAAAGGGTCGGGTCACATCCTCAACTAGGATTGGAACTCATGAGTTTATGAATAAACAAATGAATAAATTTCATATATTTTTTCTGTTGAATACAGCATGTTTCCACCAGTAGCACATAGTAAAACCATGTTCATTCAGTAATTTGCTCATTATGGTACCCTAGAACACAGTAACACATTGTTAGATGAAATATTTGAGTATTTTTAATAAGATTTCTTGGCCCACTGAGCCATCGGAGTAGATTACATGAAGGAAGGAAGAGCCAAAGACATCAGACCTGCTCATATCTTAACCTCTGCCCTCCAGAGGTGTGTGAGACACATTAATAAATCGCACAACTTTGGCACGGTTATGTGTGAAGCGACCAGTGATAACAATTAAATTGATCTCTGCTCTTTCACTTGAACACTTGTTTTTCATTGTGTGCACTCAGACATGTGAGACATGTCAGCCTAAATTTGATGTTGTGTGACACTGAGATCTGTCTATCAGCAAACGGGGCAACATCGGCCAGGGCAATAGGACTTTGAGCTTAGCTCCACGTGGGGAGAACATTGAGAGAATAATTCATGGTTTTGCTGACAGGACAAGCTTACAAACATGTTGAGATGCTTGTTTAAAACCACTTGAGTGCTAAACATTTCCAGTGAAAGAAATGGCTGAACGGTTCCATTACAACTGCCTCTCTGTTTGCTTCTATTTCTGCGGTGTGGTGGAATGATCTACTTCAAATTTGACCGTCCTGCAAATGCACGTCTCTATAGCAACTTCAGAAGATAAAGTGGCAAAACGTTCAAACAGCTTTGTGCTGCGATGAAAAGCAGACAGGAGAAACATTAGAGTTTGGGCTTGCTTTATTTTTTTCATCTGGTACATTCAGACTCGGAGCTAAGAGGAGTCCATGATGCGCCTGATGGAGCTGAACCTGGAAATGTTGCCCATTCCCATCTCTCTCAGGTTCCTGTACTCTCCGGGCCTCAGGTAAATCATGCGGCCCCTGTAACCCGGCTGCTCATACATCAGCCAGTGGCCGTCCATCACGCTGCAGGACTGGCAGTCGGACATGCGGAAGCGGTCCATCATGTTGTCGCAGTCCTCCGTGAGCTCGTGCATCTGACCCCCGAAGTTCTCCCTCTCAAAGATCTTCATTCTGAAGGGTCCCCGGTGCTGTGGAGGGGGGGGAAATCAGGGACATGACTTTGTAATTCTGAAAAACCCCTTTGGCCTCGTCAAGTTCTGCAGACTGAGACTAAAATGACACTGTTGCCGTTTTATCTTAAAATCTGTCCGTTGCCTGAGATCCTGTAGTTAAGACCTTGTTTCCAAAAATATGTGATGTTATCTCAGTGCAGCGGTCGTTCAGGCAACACAAAGGCTGCGCCAAGTCCAGTATCACTGCGATGTTAAATGATGTGGGTGGAGACGTTCTAAACCAAAGCTCCTTATCTTACGGCTCCCCCCGGTTAAATCCAGACAGGATGGTTCAAGGTGAGTGGCCTCTTGTGACGAAAGTCAAGCCAAATTGATTATTTTTTAAACTAAAACTGTGTCCCAGAGAATCCAGCCACCTACCATGGGGATCATGCGACAGGATCGGATGCAGTCGCTCGTGCTAATTCCCATCAGGTGCTGGCTGTCTGGGTACTCGCCCCTCCTCACCAGAGTCTGATGGCCCATGAAGTTAGGCTTCTCATACACCATGAAGAGGCCACTCTCCACCCTGCAGGAGTTACACTTGTTCAGGTAGGAGGTGAGCTCGGGGCAGTCGTTGCCGGTCTCATAGGAGCGACCCTGGAAGTTCCGCTCCTCGTAGAAAATGATCTAAATGAGAAAAAGAAAAAAACAGTTCTCAAAAGAACGCCTCACAGCTATTTGGATGTTTGCCAGGATGAGGCCGGCTGTGGTGGCAGTCACTCTTCAACATTTCAGAGTTGTAGAGTGCCAATTTCTCTGGTGTTTTGAAAGTTTTACTTACCCTACCCATGGTCATGATATCTGTGAGCCAATCTCAGATGTACAGCATCAACATCGGCCGTTTTCCCTTTTTATACATTGCACGGCCGTAGGATTTCCACATGGCTTGTGCTGAAACCTTTGAGTCATCAATCTATATTGTGGCCCGGAGCAGCACTATAGGGTGGCAGACTTTACTCTATGTCAGAATCTGCAATACTGTGGGAACTATGAATTGAATATTGGTTTTTATGCTTGCTTGCAGCAATGTCAACTATTTAATTCATGTCTTTCTGCCAAGTTCTACGTATAGTGTGGACATTAAAGGTAAAGGTGGGATTGAATGTGGTGAGAGCAGTAAACAAACTGCAGAAACTCTGTGGACTGCAGATGACAAAGCTTTGGCCTTGTGTAAAAAAAAAAACATTAAATATGAAATGAATTCTCTTGATTCAGCACATCATAATAACTATTGGGGTGTGCAGTAAGATTCAATGCGGAGCCACGTGTACCATGTGATGAGTCATGATGTTTCTGCAGCCGGTGTGGTGTATAAAAGTGGCACACGTTGGCATGGTTTAGGATGAAAACCGTCAATATGGGCAGGGTAATACATGTGGAATGTACTTGTTTGCTATGTCTGATCTGGTGATGCATCATGACGGTTGTGTAATGGACATGAACAGCTAACCGGAAAAGCAAAATGGGTCCCCAGCAGCAGCGACTCCTAACTCTGTCCTGTTTTCCTGCTGCAGATCATTTTCTACGAGGAGAGGAACTTCCAGGGCCGGACCTATGAGAGCAGCAGCGACTGCTCGGACCTCAACATGCACCTGAACCGCTGCAACTCCTGCAGGGTGGACAGCGGATGCTTCGTGGTGTACGACCGGCCCAACTTCATGGGCAACCAGGTCTTACTGAGGAGAGGAGATTACTCGGATTTCCAGCGCATGGGGAGCATGATGGGCATGATGGGCATGGCCATGCTGGACACCATTCGCTCCTGTCGCATGATCCCCATGGTAAGATATTTGAGCTGTTTTTGCCTCTCCGAGCAGGATTTCTGAAGATAGCTTTGGACTTCGTGGAGTGTGTGACAGTTCTTTTAGCCTTAAACGTGCTCTATAAAATCGGAAGAGTGCAAACTTGTCGTTTTTTCCAACAGCAAAGGGGGCAGTTCAGGATGAGGATCTATGAAAGGGAGGGCTTTGGAGGCCAGATGCATGAGCTGATGGAAGACTGCGAGTCTCTCCAGGACCGGTTTAACATGTCGGACTGCCAGTCTTGCAACGTGATGGACGGCCACTGGCTGATGTTCGAGCAGACCAACTTCAGAGGCCGGATGACCTACGTTCGGCCCGGAGAGTACAGGAGCCTCCGGGACACGGGGATGAGCAACCTCATGAGAATCAGCTCCATTAGACGCATCATGGATATGTGCTGACTGTCATCTTTAGAAACTGCACAACAAAAATAATAAAAAAAACAAAGAAAAAAAAGTCATTTTTAAGTATCTGTTTTGCTCTCGCTGTTCAGTGAAATCCGGTGGTTGCTTCCTCTTTAGAGATATTCCATATTTATGGAAAATTCCTCGAGTCATGATTTAAGTTTTACCAAACCTGATATAACATATAGATGAAAAAACAAAAGTAAATTGGGGGGGATAAAACTTTGGAAATGCATTAGCCATGCATCCAACCCACAACCAAAGCTCAGCCATTAAACCGTAGCTCCTGATTCTCTGACAGAGGTTAAATATGGTCTGATAGGCATCACTTTCAGACATTAAAATGAATGCCAAAAGGATCTTAAGAATGCACTACATGATTGGGCCACATATGGTTGGCTCTTCATAACAACAGAATTTGGAGGGTTCTGACTTTGGAGTGTCCTGCAAGTACAGGATTAAAAGTCTCTTTTTTAGGGTTTTATGAAAGGAAAAGGTGCAAAATGTTCATGGCAGTTCTCATTTTTGAGTGTTTGCTGACATCCTGAGGGAAGCCTGTGTAGTGTCTAAACACCATTCTTTTCAAAAGAGCGGGTGTGCTCGTCAAACTTTTTTTTAAAAATTGGAAGATGGTGGCATAGACTAATTTCATTTGTAGAAGGTAAAAGCATTTGTTTGACCGGGAGCCACTACATATTCATTTCAGGGCATGTGTCCACTGAACTGATGAACTGTGGGGTTTTTTTCTGGCACAGGATTCAACATAAAAAGTAGCGTTGTCACCATGAAATCTGTGCGGTGGCAGTTTAATCCAGGTGTCTGCAGAGCTCACAGCTCTCAGGGCCTGTGCGGGGCGGCGGGGGCTTCTATGATGAGCTGACTCGGGCATTTTGTTCAACTGAAAGGCAAATTCTTTTGATGCCACTGGCAAAAACAACAACAGAAATCATGAGCAGAACGGTAATGAAGGGCAGATCTAGACCCCCCCTTCCCCCACCCCGCCCCCCGAGTCTGGGTGGTCTCTTTCAGCTACAAATCTCTGTGACTCATAAGGACCTACTTGTCCAGTGACCAGCCTAAGAAGCTGGGAAACAGTTTATGTCTACCAAAACTAATAGTCAGCTAGGAAATCTGTCACATGCAGACCAAACCAGCTCGGCTCAGTCTGATATTACAATGTGAACAAACTACATGTTGTTTGTGACCATGCTGACATGGAGAGAGTCCCATTCTGTGACTTGTTGGTCCTCTAAAATGCCTAAAATGTAGAAACCTTTAGAAGGACTTTGAGAAAATCTATCTATTGTAAAATAAATCCTCTCTACTGGAAAGAAAAACACAACTAACTGAAAATAAATGGTTTTCTGGATACATTTGTTTTTTAAACTCATTTATCTTGTTTTGTTTGTGTTTTTGTAGATTTTGTGAGTGTGCCATTATAAAACAAATGGGACTGGAAGAGCAGCTCTGACAAAAGTGCTGATATGCATCATACAGCACGTACAACAGGGGTTTTTTGTGAGAAAAAGCTGACGAGCCGGGCCATTGTTCTGGGTCACAATGGCACAGGTCAGCGGTGGGTTATAAAGGCAGTCTGGAGCGCACGGCTGCCGCCACAGCCGGACAAAAGTCAGCAGACACAATGGGCAAGGTAAGGCTGCCCTTCTGCTTTGTGCTTTTTCACTCCTGCCCGGATTATCCACACACATCTGCCAAAACCAAGACCCTCTCTGAGTGGTTTAGGATGCACATTTTCCAGTTTTTGACGCCGTCCCGAATGTTTTCGATAACTGAGCTGATCTTCCCCCCCCAGATTGTTTTCTACGAGGACAGGAACTTCCAGGGCCGTTCCTACGAGTGCAGCAGCGAGTGCTCCGACCTGCACTCCCACTTCAGCCGCTGCAACTCCATCCGCGTGGACAGTGGGGACTGGATGGTCTACGAGAGGCCCAACTACATGGGCTACCAGTACTACCTGAGGAAGGGCGAGTACACGGACTACCAGCGCTGGATGGGATTCAATGACTGTGTGCGATCCTGCCGCATGATCCCCATGGTAACCCCCTAGTCTGACAGCTCAAACCTTTTGTTTCACTGCTCAAGGAAGCCGATAAATCGCCTCATCTTCTTTGCAGCACCAAGGCTCCCATAAGATGATGATCTACGAGCGCCAGGAGTTCGGAGGCCAGAAGATGGAGCTGACCGATGACTGCCCGGCTCTGAACGAGCGCTTCCACTCCGGCGACATCAACTCCTGCAACGTGTCGGACGGCTTCTGGATCTTCTTCGAGCATCCCAACTACAGGGGACGGCAGTACCTGATGCGCCCCGGCGAGTACAGGAGGTTTTATGAGTGGGGAAGCATGAATCCCAGGGTGGGATCCATCAAACGTATCACCGTGTAAGAGGGCTGATGTCTGCATGCTATTTCTGTGATGTTCTATCAATAAAGTCATTTCAAAGTCCATCCCATTGCTTCTGTGTTGTGTTGGATCTGTTTTTTCAAGATCTTGTTCAAAATTGGCCGAGACATTCTTTGAAGCCAAAACTCATGACAGAAAAAATGAAGCGGATTTGGATACAAAAGCACATCGAAACAAAGTATTTGCCAAGTATGTTTATTCAGACAGAGCAGAGTCGGAAGACTTCTAATTGGAGTCGACGATTCGCCTGAGCGAGCCGATTCTCGGACTGTTGGCGCCCCAGTCGCTGTATCTGCGATATTCACCGGGTCTCAGGTAGTAGGTCCTCCCTTTGTAGTCGGGCTGCTCGTACAGCAGCCAGTGGCCGTCCACCACGTTGCAGGAATTGATGTCAGACATGCGCAGGTGGTCCTGGACGTTGGGGCAGTCGTCGCTGATGTCCTGCGCCTGGCCGCTCATGTCTGGGTGCTCGTACAGACGGATCTTGTAGGAGCCGCGATGCTGCAGAGAGAGAGACAGAGAGAAAGAGTCAGTCCATCAGCTTTTGGTCCTTGTGTCCCTTTTGGTGCCAGGAGAAGCTGAACATGTATGACCTGGGCTCAAAAACCAGCCGACTGTTCTGATGCAGCTGTGCGTTCGTTCTGCTTTCTGAGTGGAACACAGTTTTCTGAGTTGCACACAATCAATGCAAGTTTTTTTTTCTTCTGTGAAAGGCCCAGTCCCTGATATATTGTAAAATATCTTCTGGAGCTCACCATGGGGATGGCGCGGCAGGAGCGCACGCTGTCGCTGATGCCGATCATGCGCTGGTTGTCGGGGTACTCGCCCCGGCGCAGGAAGTACTGCTGGCCCAGGTAGTTGGGCCTCTCGTACACCATGAAGCTGCCGCTCTCCACCCGGATGGAGTTGCAGCGGCTGAAGAAGGGGTGCAGGTCGGCGCAGTCGCTGGTGCACTCATGGTGCTGACCCTGGAAGTTCCTGTCCTCATAAAACACGATCTGCAAAGGGGAAATCGCCCGTTAGCCCTCCAGCCAAAACATTCGACATCCATTTCTGAAGGATTTGGTTTTATTCTACATTTTCAGTAACTCACAAACTTACCTTTCCCATTGTCACTGGTGTCAGATGGCTACTCAATAGAGGCTTTCTGTGATGCCGCCCTTTTATATAAAGACGCTCTGTGATGGCACAGCATAAAGCTTTGTCATCCAAATGGGTTTTATAAAACCGATCTGGGTATGCACAGCCAAGCAGCACGGTGGGACGTTATTGTTGTCCGCTTCTCACGTGTTCATCACTATTGATTAAAACCTCGATGTGCTGACGGTCGCTGCTCACAGTATCAGCAAAACAAAACCACCGCCGTTGTTTTTGCATTCTTGGTATGTTTTGGAAGGCTGCACGGCAGGGCCCAGTCTTTTTCCAGATCCCAGCCTCCACCAAACACATCACAGTTATTCATAGCACTGGCTACAAATATGAAGAGGGACAAAAAGCAAAGTGTTTGTAGATGGATCCACGTCAACAACATTTTGCAGGAGGCCTGGACAAACTGAACAGAGAAATAGTTGTTTTTTTGCACTCAGAATTCATTCTCTGATAAACACTCTGATTCCTCAGCGCCACTGGACTCAGTTTCTTTTCACCAAAATGAAAATGATGAGTCAAAGTTGCCACAAATGAATGCCAAACACAGCCCAATGAAACACTGTGGGAAGCATTTATTCTTAGAAACAGCTACGCACACACTGAACTAAAACAGGGTGATATACGCACAACTCCATCAGTATCAAACATAGAAAATATGGAACAAAGTGTTCAACCAGCAAACTACTTTGGATGGTTATTTTTAGGGTATACAATAGAGGCAAAAAACAATGTGCTTCACATAGTTTTTTGTCTCAATGTGAAGACAGAAAAAGATATACCCCAAATAAATACAACCCTAACCCAATAAAAAACAACACTGGAATGAAAACACATCAACAACTGAAGGTGAACACAAACTGAAGCCCTTTTTAAGCCCATACTAAAGACAGGGGGACTCAGGCTTTCCGGCTGGTTTCAGTTGCAAAAAGCAAAAGTTATCTAAGACTGAGTCTTTTTTCAAATTCGGGAAGGATAGTTTACTTGAAAAGATTCGAACATAAAAAGTAATACTCACAAAACTTTGACGGAAACAAAGAGGTCAAGAATCAACTTTCCAAATAACAGTTGAACACCGGTCTTATAAAAGACATTTCTAAATACAGGTTTTTGTAAAATGCAAACTTGTTCCAGCTTAGTGACATGGAGGAGGTAACTCTGAGCAAAAACTGATCATGTTGCTGTTGAATTGTGATATTTTATTTGACCCAACGAGCTCTTCGTGAAAACTGTGAACCAATCAGCTCGACATCAAACTGATAAGAACCAGCAAAGCAAGGCTGAGAATGTCTGCAGCATTGCCATGTTTAAAATAGTAGAAAAGTACCTAAGCCATACTCTAAAAGGAAAGGGCGACCCACTCACAGCGGGTTAAAGGATCCTGAAGAGCCCAGCACTGATGAGGCGGTTAAGAACCCATAATAGCTGCTATAATGTGGACCGGTCAGCCGGAGGGGCACGCCTGCAGGCGCTGCCGTCATGGTAGGTGATGCAAAACCGTCTGAAGCTGTGTGACTCTGCATCAAGAGGCCAACCTCAGTCAGACGGAAACAAATGGAAATCAATCCTTAAGTTTTTGGCATGAAGCGTTTTCTGTGAGAACACATAAAACTTTTCTCTTTTAAAGAGGTGAAAGCAAAAAAAAACAACAAAGAGGAGCAACCCTCTGAATAGAAGGCACGGGGGGGACAATGAGCTGGCTTGATGGAGCTGTGTCAGACTTTCAGGGCGGGAGGTCTCTCGTGAGATTGCGTACCTGCATCTTGCTGAAAAGTTCTGTGTTAAGCTCACGGAGGAGAGGAGGGACTGAGGGGGCGTCCATGGTGCTGAGTGCGGGAGGTATGGAGGGCTGCCTACATGAGAGGCGGAGGGCTGTGAAACATGACGGCGTCGGGTGACTCTGTGGACTCTGGCAGGAAGTGGAAGTCCCTGTGGGGCATGTGGCGGTGGTACTTTGGCTTCAGCTGCACTCGCGGCGGTGGGAACATCAGATTCTGCAGAGAAACAGGCCACAGAATGACTGTGAAACAAGGAGTAACGAGAGGGAGCGAGGTGGTGGGAATCCATTCACCTTCCCAGGGTCGCACTGCAGAGCCACCGGGGTCATTCCCGGGTAAACGTGAAGGAATGTGGGATCCACAAACTGTCAAATATGGGAAAAGCAGGCAGCAGAATCACTATACAACACAAACTCACCTGAATGTAGCTTTTAAAGCCCACAAAAAAGAAAATAAAACTGTCAATAGTCCATATTTACCTGCATTACAAAAGAAAAAATAATCAGAGTGTTTAACAGAAACTCAGAGAAAGGTTTGAGTCTCTGTCATTTTCATTTATCTTTAAATATCTGTACCTCTGGCGTGTTTTCCTCCATGCAAGGTTGGAAAGAGCTTCCATCAGCAGTCTGATAAAAAACCTCTGACTGCTGGGAGTACACGGCTGTACTGGAGGGCACCTGGACACACAGATTGCAGGCCTGTTAAAGCTCTGACTGGAGTAAGAAGCAGCCGGCTGTGATGCTCTGAGGGGCTTTAACTGTTTCCTTCAGTTCAGCGTGTAGCACGTTAACTCTAGAGCCCTTACACAGCTTTTACACTGCCTCGGATATTTATGCTTTATGGGACGGATTACTACAGACAGAAAATGGTGTGAAATGTTGAAAAAAATAAAAATAATTCTAACTAAATCCTGGACTGAAAAGAAGGGACTTCACCCACCTGGACTGAACTCCACTGGCAGTGGTTTGGGACACTCTGTGCAGAAAAAGAAAGCAACCGATTTAGTCAGGTTCAAACGGGCGCTACGCTGCAGAGCTGCGCGCTGACCACCGGGCTGAACTGACCACCGGGCTGCGCTGACCTGGTACTGGGGGAACGCTGGCGGCTGGAGAACGGGCTGGCGGGACGGAGACAGCATCAGTGGCGGGGCTGGCTGCAAAAAACGAGTCCTTCAGACTTTGATCCATGTCTTTCATAATGTGGCCAGTGTCAGTCCTTCTGATTTCAATACATTAGCCATTCAGAAGGGCATCAGGGGTTACGCTGACCATGTGCTTCATCCTGAAGCACATTGTTGAACATGGAACCCACTCTAAAGGCTGAATGGGAGTAATAACTGTTAGCACTTACTGAACAGTGGTGGGCCGGAGGGTTCATGTTGGGGCAGTGGAAATAAGCCACTCCATTATGGTAAGTATAGGGATAGCCGGTGGATGTGGTCAGGTACAGAGTCCCACAGGAAATCTGATGAGGCACAGCGGGTTCAGGGTGGGCCAGGGAGGCGTTTTTAGCTGGGAACAGAAGGAAGCCAGCAAAAAGTGGAAATTGGTCCGGGTCATTTATAAATTGCTCATAAATTGGGTGCAGCACCTACTGCTGACTTACTTTGTCCTGCAGATTGATGTTTTCGAAAAGCCTGACCAATGCAGAGCTTTTTTTCTTTTAAACAAATTCCATTAGCCTTTAATGACAAAGAGAACAATATAAGACGGATGGATTTGGTTTACATGGATATATATGTGTGTGTGTGTGTGTGTGTGTAAAGCATTATGTATGAAGTAACAATATGAAATCTTGTGGAGTTTCGACTTACATTATTCAGGATTTTCAGAACTTCTTCTTGAGTTTCAAATGTAACAAACCCATATCTGTTCAAACACATGAAATCTGTTTAAGTCTGTTAAAGATGAACCACAGAAAGTCAAATACGGAAGAAACTTACCCCTTTGACAATCCTGAGCGATCTATCACAATCTTCACCTCTTTAACGACACCGTGTTGGGAGAAAACATGTCGCAGGTCGCTCTCATTGACCTTTAAAAGCACACAAATATTTTCAACATTTATTATCAAAAACCAAATGGCTGGCAATTGGCTAATGGAAATGGGCACATCTCACCTTGTAGTCAATCCCCCCAACAAAAATCCGGTTTGGGATGATGGTTCCAAGGGCTGGGGTGTGGCAGCCCTGGTCTGCCTGGTTTTCTGGAGGCAACACGTCTGGAGGGAAGGAACTGCTTTCACCGGGAGACACATGGCATGTCTTCACCTAATAAAACACACAAAATTAAAAAAGTGTGCTGGTTTAAATGTGAAGATCTTTTCAACTGGTTCACAAATGACAGATAAATCAGCAGCATCGGGCCCAAACACGAAAAGCTGCACATGTCTTCCATCAGACTGAAGCTGGAGCTCTCTGACCACCAGACTGTGTGTCCAGCAGCCGGACACCTGCAGCCATCGCTTCAGTAAACTGTTGACACTTAGCACCGTTTCATCTGTGAAAAACCTGCTGGAAGTCACTCTAGGGGTTTTTTCTCTTCCCGGCAAAATCGAAATTTTGAATATTTTCACTTGACCAGAACTTAACCAGAATATTTTTTTTCTTTTTGTTGGTTTAGCCAGTTTGTGCAGCAGTGTGCATTAATCTGTCCACTAAAGTCCAGTGATTTCCCTCCTTAAAGGCTGGAGTTAGCATCTGCAGGACACCATATGTCGGCGGCTTTTCGTTTCTCTGAACAGAGCCTATGGCAACTAAATGAAAGAGACCAATTGGATATCATGAAGCATTTACCCGCTGAAAGCTCGTACATGCAACATTGAAACACCCATAAAGAACTTACAACCAAAATTCCTGGAGATGCGAAGGAACTTTAGCACAGTTAGCCAGCTAAACGATTAGCAACCACTTAAGGGCATTCACTCACCGAGTTGTGGCTTTTCACCTCCATAACCAAATGAATCTGGTTAATTTCCGACTCAGTGCAAAAAGTGCAGGTCCTTAACCGAGATTAAACATGGTCTGTGGAGG